TCGTGGCAAAACTCTAATTCTGTGAACTTAGTGCCATAATAGGAAAGACTGCCTCTAAAAAGCATCTGCCGTGGCAGGAATTAAGTGCCAACACTGCTAAAGCCTATGGGCAAAATCAAACTGACACGACGTTTGCGGCAACTTTTGTGCTTCAACTGGGTGTAGTGAATAAATACATATACGCACACCCCTATGGTTGTTACTGTTGTGAAAAATCAGCCTAATTTCTCACCAAAGAAATGACAAAACCTGCATTCAGTCTTTCAGTGCTAACTGAATCAATACCATGTAGACTGTGGAATGAGTTCTTTAAGCTATGTAGCAACAGGGAGTTAAATTCAGAGTAAACACAGAGCGTTATATTCACAGACCTACACTTTCTGTTTGTTCATTCATGCCAATCAGCGTGTCTGAACATCCAAACGCTCCTGACAAATTGCTCACACTTGTATTCCCTAATTGCCATCCACCGTATTTGAAAAAACATTTTACATAGAAAATGAAGTCAAGAAAGAAATTTTACAGGTAACAAACATAAAAATGAATTAAATTCTAGGCATAAATCAACTACACTGAATCACTAACTACTCCGATTTGACAACTCCGAAATATCTGAACTTGCCAACTCTTCTTTATGAAAGTAATCTGATCAACTCAGTCTCCAAAAACGTAAGAGCCATCAGAAGGAAACCTCTCAGTTCAACTTGGTTAATACTAGCCAGATTTAATGAAAAGAATCAGTAAGATTGCTTTCAGATGTAATATCTAGTTCCACACTTGCATTCAGGAACACAGAAAAAGCATAAAAATAATCCTACTGAAAAAAAAAACTTGGTAAATTTAGGCACTGACTAGGGCTTAGACAACATGCCTTAAGCTTGTTGTCTAAGCAGACATTTATGAAGAAAAGAATGTGTATCTTAATTTTACTTGCAACCTGGGGGAAAAAAAAAAAAAAAAAGAAAATTTGAACCAATGTAGTCAAATTTAGTAAATCTTCCTGAGTCTTCACATTTGTCAGTGTGGGGAAAACAGTGCAGCAGGCATGGCAGTGAGGAAGCAAGCCACTTGGCTCCGCGCTCGGTGTCAGAGCTGAACGAGCACTGCCTATACTCGTCTACTGGCTATTTTTGTGCGCGCATTTGTAGTTCTGCTTGGCTGGAGGCTGTGAAATCTGAGAGGTCTTGGGATTGCTTCAGTTTTCCTTCACGGCACGGTGTATTCTCATCCCTGCAATACACTGTACCCGCTGCTAGTCCCAGTCCAGATTCTGTTGATGGCAGATGTGGAGCCATCTGCTTTCAAGGAGCGCAGCCTTCAGAAGGTGAGAATTTCTCCCTCGGTTAGGGGAATGTGCAAGAAGTCTATGGAACACATTTATATTCAAATCCCCTCTTTTTGAATCAATAGCAGGATCTCAACTCAGTTGTTTTACGTTAGCTGGAGATCACAGCCCTGCTGCTTTTGAACAGCTTCGCTTGTTCAGCTAGTTTACGCTTCTGCACAAAGTCTTCTCTCTTGTAAAGCTTCAGTTATTAACAGATTTAGTTGTTCATTTTTTGGCTGAAATTTTCCAAAGACACTTATAGGTTATACTTTTATTACCGGAAACCAGTGAGACACTTCATATTTTGTTACCCTCAAATCTAAATAATTTCCTTATAGTAAGGAACCATTACAGTGATTATTAACTAATATTTCTTAAGTAAAACCTAAATGATGACTATTTGTAGTAATGTAGTGCCATGAATGCAACATATGAAATGTGTCCATTCGCCCTCCAAGTTCTTACAGCATGCAACAGTAAAGAAAACAGTAATTTGTGATGTATTATCCCATTTCAGATTAATTAATTTCCTTATTTACTGAATTACCTTCAACTGAACTCTAGTGCTAAATCGGTCAGATTCTACTGTACGATATGTGAAAGGTAATATTAAAAAAATCGCTTGCTAAAAATAAACTTATTATGCTAGCAGTAAAAGATCAAAAGCATCTATGTAATTAAAAATTATTAAATTGAGAGTACGTACAAAACAAACTCTTCAATGTGCTTTTAATTAAAAATATTACCCTGTAAATTAAAACTGAAGGCTTAAAAATAGTAATCAAGGTCAGAAGAATTATTGGAGAGAAGTATCTTTGTATAACTTTGAAATTTCTGAGTAAATTTATGATCGAACACAGGAAATTCTACTGGAAAGAAATGAAAAAGGGCAAAAGGGATCTAGACCAAAAAGGTGCTAAGTAGATGCATTATTTTTGTAAAAGAATAAAAAGGCTCCATTTCAAATTAGGAGATCTCACCGGCATACTGCCACAGAGCAGGCTAATAGCTGTCCGTAAGAAACTACTCTTAATGGGGGGAAAGGTAGGGAATTCCTTAGCAACAGCTTCGGCAATTTTATTTGTGACTCTGCCCCCCTGCAGGAAGCTGCTTCCTCGCAACAGCAGCAGATGAGGAATGAAAACAAAAAACCGTTCTCCTTGCCGTAGGTTTTCCTTTAAAGTCAACAGCAAATTCTTTTTGTCTGCTAAATCCAGTGTTGGAGCTCAGCACAACAGTTGTTTAGAGGGTTCAGAAGCAAGGTACGTGACATTGTCACTGTAAGAACAGTTTCAGCTAGCTTTAGGCTCTAGGAAATCAGAGGATTCGTTTCCTGCAGACACCCCAAAGAATGTAACTTGTGAAGTTTCAGTTGTTTGAGTACCAAAACTGAAATTAGGAAGCTTTGCGAGCTGAGGAGATGGCTGCCTGGGGGGCTGCTCTGAAAGCCACTTGTACAGAGGTAACCAAAAAACCGCACACATTACTAACCCAGTAACGCCTGCTGTAAGGCAAGTTGTCCCCACATATTTGATACCGCTTTTGGAGTGGGGAGGAGAGGGAGCGAGTTCTCAGTGGATGGCTTTCCTATTGCAGCTGTGAACATCTGCACATTATGCCCCGCTACCGAGACCAGTTTGTCCAGCAAAGACATGACAAAGGAGGCATTAAGTACCTGGTGGCTGGATTCCTCCGGGTTGTCCTTATGTGATCGTCCATAGGTGTTGGGCACATGGTCATGTCGAGACAGGCAAGTTTTGCAGCACTGCTTCTTGACGGGTTGATTTTAGTAGCCAGTGCCTGTATTCCTTCACCTCTGCCAGCAGATGAAGCCTGCGTGTGTTGGAAGACACTGGGCTGACTGCATTAAAAATTAACCGTTAGCGTAACTGTAACTTCAAAACCATATTGATATATAAATTAAATACTGTAACTCCAAATGGATCGCATCTGACCATTTTAATAGTATCTCAGTGAAGACCGGTGTAAAACAGAAGTAGTAGTAAATTCATACTCAAGAAATTGTTTGAAATGGACAGTTGGCTTTCCTTCCCTACTGATTGTGAAATGGCATCTGACATTTATTGTCCTTTTTGAGAAGTATTCTTGTTAGAAGTATTCTCTTTACCTGCGAGGGGTCGGCCAACAGAGGGAGTGTGGAACAGACTGGGACTTTTACAAAACTATGGCTAAAAAACCCCCCACAACTCTCAGCATGGAAATAGAATCAAAACAAAATCATCGTCTGTATGATTTTCCAAGACTAAAAACATTTCAACTCAAATTCAATACGTAATAATGTCTTTATTAAAGAGATCGCTTTATAAGAGGGCAAACACTTCTCTGAAGGTTTTAACCTGTTGCATGCCAAGAGTCAGCATTAGTCAGAGATCATGAATCCACTTGTAAATTGGCAACTTTCCTACTTCGCTGGCAATTCTTTCCCGAAACTCCCACCACATATAGTGGAGAGCGGATGACACGTTATTTACGCTCAATAATTTTACATGTGCACCATTTTCAGCCTTAAGTTTTGAAAAACAGAGATAAATAACAATCAATATTCATGTACCCTTTATTTGCTTTCAGTGTAACATTCCATGCTAATTGCAGATGTAATATTCATGAGTGTAAATATAAGAATTAACAACTCTGGGTTGATTTTCTTCTCTTTTGTTTTTACATGTGAGTATTTTGGCTTACAAAATTAACAGCATACAGTAAATAATCCTCCCATACTTTGTACAAACTACATGATTTTGATATACAAGGATTCTGTTTTTATTACAGTGACAATATACAACCATGTCTATTTACAATGCAAAAAGTATATAAACCACATTTTAAACATTCTGCTACTGGCAGCCACTATTGTTTAGGAGGTAGCTTTAATTAACAAAATGAACTGAAGCCACATTTCCCATCATGTGTTCTATCAAATAATTTACAATACAAAGATAAAAATTCATTGTATGAACAGTATATACAGTTTAATTCTCAAAACAGCAATCTAGCTTTAAATCTTAACGAGAATGTCTCCAGAGTAACTGGGATGGCAGTGGATTTGCTCTTGATTTAGCGTATTGTTCAAGAAACATACGTAACTACTTAATCATGCATTCGTAATTTTATATCAATCAGATTTCAAACTAAATATGATAAATGGATCACTGATTGTACTTAAATCATTTGGGTCTCAGGACTTGAATGGTTTAAAAATAATGCACTGATTTACATGAAAATCAGTGACTTTGCACAGTGTACTTCACTCTCAGTAAAATAATTGGCAAAAACGCTTTTCTTTTATTGCAAAATTGCTTTCTGTTTTCCCTCCATTTGCTAAAATCTCAGTCTATTCATAGATATTATTGCGGCGCTGTGACATTCAGCAGGCTGCAGAGCATTAGCCGGTCTTTCTCAAAGACATGAGCTGTATAAATCGACAGCCCTGCTAACGCCCCCCGATGCATCGATATTCCTTCCAACAGCGTGACCCAACTGCATAATACTGAAGAAAGTTGCTGTGGTTCACCTGAAGTAGTGCAGCATCACTGGAAAAAAGTGTTCAACCCTCTTATTCCTGACAGCTGTTAATATGCTTATTTCATAGTCTACAGATATTGCGAATTACAAGTGCTTTATTGTAACAAAACCTTTTTTTAAAATCGAACGTTGGCTTGAAATACAAAACAAACATGGTATGCCTATATTGCTGTCACAGTTATGTATGGGAAAATTAATCCCTTTTTTTGGCCCTGCAGTAAAATTCATCCTGAGATTCAATGCTGAATACACTACACAAAGCTAGCAAGAGAGTTTTTTGCTTAATTATAGAAAAGTCACATTTAAAAATAATTTCTTTATTATTAAACAGCTGTCCTTTATATTGTGCTTTGGCAGGAAAAAAAAAAGAAAAAAAAAATCAACAGAACTTACCTTGCCAACAGCAGATGCAAAGTACAACTGGAGTACAACGTGGAAACACACCATTAGCATGTAAAAAACTGTATAAAAGAAACCACTATTGCGTGGAAAGAGCAAAAATATTGGGTAACAAATTTGGTTTACCAATTATTTACAGTCAGGGCAATTGATTTATTTGTTTAATTATTTTTAAATGTATGGCTCAAGAAGTTACTGCCCGCTTCCCTTCTTTACAAATGACACTAAACGATGATTACAAAAGTGCTTCCTGCTCGAAAGGTCACAACAGGCAACAGTCTACGAAGCATGATACCTCTTTATTAAACAGCTGATGGCAAAAAGCCTGTTCAGTCTTTAATTCTCGGTATGTTGTAGGCATAACGAACCAAAGGGAATCCTCGGCTTTGGTAGAAACACGCACGGCCGCAGGCCTGCACTTGGTCTGAGCTGTCCGACACGAAGGAGTCGTCCTCGTCCGCGTAGTCGGAGTGGGCTGACTGGGTGCCGCAGTCCGACCAGTAGCCATCCGGCCTTTGGCAAGGCACCACTGCCAGCGTGGGGCAGCTGTGGGATTTTATTAAATGTTTACAGGGCATGGGCTTGGATAGAAGGAGCGATTCGCAACATTCACACACGGCGATGTTACCCTGCAAATGGGTGTACACGCCACAGTCGTAGTAAAAATCCTGCGCCACGCAGCCCCCTTGGCTGTTGACGGCGATTGCGACCGCTCCGTTCTTCCTGGTCATGTGGCGCCTGAGCAGCTTCCAGTCCTCCTTGAACTTCGGGTTGAAGAATACGTACAGAACTGGATTCAGGCAAGCAGGTAACGGGAAAAATATCAAAGTAACAGACTTCATGATTTCAGGGCTGATAGAAATCGCAGTGATCAACGGTGCAAACGAGAAAAACGCAACAGGGCAGAAAAAGATGCAATTCGTGAAGATTAGCCAAGCGACATGCTTAATCATGCTGGACTGCGAGTTTTCGGAGAGGTCCTCTTTTTCCAAGTTGCAATACAGTTTAGTGTAGATAATAGCCATTAGCAAAAATGCTAAGGAATTCAGGAGCACTAAAGTTACCGTGAAACCTAACGAAGGTGTTTCTCCAGTGGGGAAGGGCAAGCAAAGGGGTGATGCCGAGTACTCCGCTTTATAAAAAAGTGGTAAGCATCCCGCTACCACAGCACACAGGAAAGCAAAAACTGCCGCAATTTGAAATTGTTTTTGGCGATTACTTTTCCCCTTTTTAATGATCTCCTTCGCAGAGAAGCTCCGTTCAACAGCTGCCAACATCAGGAAAAAAATGGCACTTTCTGACGAAAAGACTGCAAGAAACCCAGCAACTCTGCAACCACTGCCAGTCTCCCACCATATGCCAAATTCAGCAAATCTTCCCCAAGAGACAGCATCCAAGAAAGTTAAAATACCAGTATAGACTCCCATAAATAAGTTAGAGACAGAAATCAGACCTATAAACAGTTTGGAAGATGGCAATGGAGTACAGGATGCAAATATTGTTAACATGACAAGCAGGTTGAAGAACAAAGCAACCAAAAAAATAAACCAGACAGTAAGTCGAATCATCCAGCTGCCCAATAAATATTCACAAGGCTTAAAAGCACCTAGAAGAAAAAAAAAACAAACAGAAGGACAACCAATTTAGGAAAAAAATTGTGCCTTAATAAGCAAGATTTTCAAAAGGTATTACAAGAGCACTCCTCATTAATTCATGAATAGCGTACACAGCTGAACTGCTAAATAGGTCAGCTGAAAGTAAACTATTCTGCTGAAGCTATTTACTAATTAATTATGCCTGCAATAATAATTACTGCGATGAATGGTCACTTGAGAATACTTTGTGTAAACAAGCTAGCCAAACAAACTTAACTACCTTTTAGCTACTCAAAATAGCTTTTATTAGTGCCAACTAAATATTTTTTGTTTTCTTTAGATTTCATACTTCATTTAAAAAGTTGGTAACAAAATAAAAGCAAATGTTCACAACCAGCTTGTAAGGGGAAAGCATTTTTTAGAAGTAACAGATTCTCTCAAAAATTGATTCACAAACATGCCTTCTGGAGTAACTTTTGGTCACAAGGAAACATCTGTAAAACAGCCGACAAATTCAGTTTAATGAGCTTTAATAGGGACAGGAATTCACCACAAGCCCTCTCCCCCGCCCTCTCACTGAAAGGCACTGGGAGCTTGGAAAGTCATATAGGGAAAATGATTTTTTTTTCTTCTTCTTTTGCCACTTAAAAAAGCTTAAATAATAAAAAATGTCCAACAAGCAAAATAATATCAGTCAAGACAAGGAAAAAAGGTCACTACTACTGCTTACCCTTCTAATCCTTCTAATTGCTATTTATTCCATAGGGAAATCCTACTGATTTTAAGTAACAATTACAAGAGTTTAACCTCTCCTACACCCCCATTAGGCAACTGCTAATTGTCCGAAGCACAATAGCTGGGGATCTCTCCCTGCAGTCAGTAGCTCTGGGAGCTGAAGGCAGAGCAGAAAAACGCCAAACTGCGCAGCCACCTCAGGCTGGAGCTTCCGAGCCGGATTCAGCCCGCGACTCCCGGCTCTGCGCAGCTCACGCCCTCCCTTTGGGCAGGTGGAAGGCAGGTACCACCCACCCCTAATGCGGGCTGGAGCAACTGCGGAGGACGATTCAATGTCAGTGCAAAAACCTCCCAAAGCCTAAAGCAACTTCCAGAAACGACTGAACTGACAAGTCAAAAAAGAATCTTTTTGTTTGTTTAAACGAGCAAGCTTCATTTCTGGGCAAGAAATAATGGTGCTAACTGGATTATCAGACCAGTAAAATCCCTTTTTTTGCAGGTATTCCTGGGTAAGACTTCCTCGCCAGAATAATTATTTTTACAGTACATTCACAGGACGCAACAATACCTGCTAAGCTGAATCTACTTAAAAATAAAAACAACTTCCTACTTAGGAAATTTAAAAATGTCAGTGTGTGCTTCCAAAATCAATTTGAAGTCTGTTTTCTAGTAGCTGTACAGCGAGGTATATTTAGACAAAGAAAACCCACCACACTTTCCTGTCTTTCTCCCAAGGTCTAAGTCTCCTTAGAGTTAAAAGTTACCCTCCTCTCTCATTAATATTCCCAGTCCACTGAGCGAAATTTATGCTCGGAAGGGTGAGTTTCGCAGCCCTCAGTGCTGTGCTACTCGAATGCCACTGTTCAGCAATCCATTCCAGCTATTAGGCAAAGCGGAAAGTGGATCTACGAGATGAGCAATGATTCAGAACTTGCATGGTGGGTGGAGTGTCCTACTTATGACCAGACGACAGCATAGCATAGAAAACAAGTTGTTAGTATGGGAGGGACTGGTGAAAAACAAGGCAAATTGCGAACTTGTAAAACAAGCTCTTCATTCCTTTTAGAGCTACAGCATCTCTGGCATGGGCAAAAAGAGAGAGCTAAAGGCTTTAAAGATTTAACCCGTGTAACACACCATCTGAATTCTCATTCTGTGAACAGGAGATCAAAAGCCAATAGGCAGCATTGGTCAAATTAATTCTCAGATCACGTACAGTTACATTAATAATATATTTGATTTTCTGACCACAGGTTTTTTTGGCTGTGATCAAGAAATCCTTGTGATACTCTATACACTAAAGCTGGAGCTAGCCCAAAAGATGAAGAGTGAACAGATTTTCATAATGGATGTAAAATACCAGTTTAGGAGAAGAGGATGAAAGATTTGGAAAACGCCTGTTCATCCAGAAGTAACTTCATTGGAAGCATTCTGTTCCCCCCATCTATGTGTTCCTGTTTAGGCAAACAGGAGGGTACAAGATGTATAGAAGGAATCCTCTGGAGAGCCCGTGGCAAAGGCAAGGAAGTAGGAGGCACCACCACAGCAAGGGCTTTAGGAGCCGAGTGGAACTGTGTGTGGAAATTCGCAGTACAAGGAAGATAAGCAGAAGGGCAGCAATGAAGCTGCCTAGAATGAAAATATTTGCTTGCAAGATCAAAGACTTTCAACACTCCTGGATTGTTCAAGCCTGAATTGGAGTAGTTCTGGTATGCCAATAAGACTATTCATTGCACAAATAATCTGTAGCAGTTTAAGATGCTACGGGCCTGCTCCAGCTACTTGTAACAGCCCTCTGCTGTCAATTAATGCGGCTATAGCAGGGCTGGGGAGCAGATCACATGAGCGTCCCTCCTCTCTCCTCCAAAGGCATCAGGCTTAGTTAAAACCACCAATGACAGCAGTTTGAGTTAAGCTTTTAAAGCACAGGCTGACTTCTCACTGAAACAGATGAGCATTCATACAGTCTGCTCCACAGACATCGCTTTGGCAAGAGTAACGCAGAATTAGGGGGCAGTGCATTAAACATAGCAAGCTCCAAATAGAAGTATTAGTGTCTTGTATGTTCTGCTTATGCTTACTTCTCCAATACAGTGCCGTGTGTCTAAAGCTGAGGCAAATCTTTGCGATTGCTCATCCAAAACAACATTGACATCAAATGAAGTTTCACCCAAGCATTGTAGAATTTAATCTTCTGTGTACAGAATGACTACGAGGAATGAAACATGTAATTCTGCAGACAGCTATTTGCATAACACCATGCCTGAAGTTCACAATGGCTAAAGCACATTATAAGATTTACCTGTTGCTGGTGTACAGTGAATAATAGTCTGTCCTAGTTCCTCATTTTCCTCATTTCTTAGAACATCTGCATCAGCTGTATGCAAGTAAAAATGAAAAACAGGTTAGTTGTAAGAAGAAAAGAAAAAGTGAAATGCAGTGAAGCTGCCTAGGATGGAAGTAGTGCTTTGAAAGATCAAAGACCTAACACTTCACCAACGTTCAAGCCTTTAACAAGCAGAGCTGTTCTGATTTGCCACGTAAGGTCGAACGCTCAGTGCGGAAATCACTGCAGCAGTCTGAGTTACTACTGCCTGTCCCAGCTACTCACAATGCTTTGTAACAAAGCAGCAACATCTTTCATCATCAAGGAAAGATCTATGGGCCTTGAAGTAGACAGTGGAAGGACAAGCCCTTTCTGAACAGGAAGGTCGAAATACTAAGAACCATGAAACATTTTCGTTCTGGCAGCAAATGACAGAAACAATACTGGCAGTTTAGAATTTGAAAAAAAAAAAATTGTTGTTTTTTCTTTCTTAAACAGGCAAATCTTACACATTTAGAAAGAACATGGCACTGCCTATTTGTAAGCAGCCACTAAGCACTTTCAGAGACAGCTTTTGTATCCCTATGAAGATTTACATTTTCAAAATTTCCTTTTTCAAAGTTATACACTGTTATTCGGTCTAATCTGGCCCAAAATAATACTGCTGGTTTAGTACAATGAAACACTTACCCTTCTCACGCTCCATCACGGCGCCTTGGTCTTGGTGACTGGAGTCTTCAGCATTAGAGTTTAAATAAGAATCACAACCCCAAAACGCACAGCACTGGTAAGCATATGGTACAGAGAGTGACCTGAAATACAGGCAGAAAAACAACAAAGGAGTGTTACCCATTGTAACCTGAGTTAAGATTACCACCTATTAAAAATACTTAAGTGGCACACTTCAGTGCTAAAACTGAAGCTTCTTTTTGTGATGGTCGCTAATAAAAAAAACTATTTCAAATTGGGTCAGTTGTAACCATTTCTGATGAATTTTTGTACTGAGATAAAGGACAGGTGCCGCAGCCGAATCTTGTCTGCTGCAAGGAGTATGAAGAAAATTCTGTGATGTTTAGCTCTCTTTACTACTCATTGTAATCCATACACAGAACAAATTCTGATCAGTGTTTGTGGCATTGCTGTACAAATTAAACTGAAAACTAATTAAGCAAGCTAATTAAAGAGTAACCATTTTCTAAGAAAATTAATTCCCAGATGACCACGACATTAAAAATTACATCTTTTCTTTTCACTCTTCATTTTGTGGACCCAAAATAAGATTTTTTTTTTTTTGCTATTGTCTTTTTGTATGTTTGACAGAAATGGTGCATACTATTAATCCTGGTAGAGAAGTAGTACAGCTGCATACAGAGTTTTAAAAAGTCCACATAAACAATGAGATAATAGCAGACCAGAAGCAATTTTTCTGACTCAAGGCTACAGCATCAACTATCTGCAGTATTGTTCCTGAATTCTGTTCTTGTAAATACTCAGGAGGAACGTCAGTCTAAAGGATCCCACAATGCATTAGTTCTCAAACACAGATCAAAACCTAAAAAACAATCTGCTGTTTCCACAGGACTGGTGAGGCCTGACATGGATTCCTTTGCTGGCCTTAGACAAATTAACAGTATCTTCATCTCCATTTTCTCCATCGGAGAATATGGCAAACAATTTCTAACTGCTTCTTGAGGATTGAAATATTAATGTGCAGAAAGATCTTTTAAAATGCAAAGCAGCTAATCACTGTCTGATCCACCTCCCACTGCAATCAGTACCAGGTTTCCATTTGAATGATTACTGTTACTCTTATCATTTGCCTCCAAGAATAAACAGCATATGTATAAAGCGTGGTGATTATGGAATCAGACACCTGCGCGTCTGCTCCTGTTTTCCACACTCTGAAAGACAGATGTGCTCAATTCAATAACAAATGGAATCCACCCAAACCACTACTCCGAAGTCAGATGATATCTGCCTGAAAAGCGGTGAAGGAAAAATGTACAAGGTTCCAAGAAAATTGTCTGGAATGGCTTCTATACCAGAATAGTCAGATGCCCTTTTATATACGGCAACATTAAGGCCCTACAGGATTCAGCAGATCGTTTGTCATGAATATTATCTAAACTGGCTTCATTCATTGTCACATTGCTCGTTACTGTCAAAATAAGCGAGGTGCTCTGTAGTGTTATTTACCAACGTACCGGAGCTTTGCAAAGTTCTTTGCTGCCAAAGCTTCTTTCAACTCAGAATTGCCTGCAAGTTTAAGCTGGTTCAGTCCACTCAATCCTTCAGTTGGAACTGAAGTGAGTTCGTTGAAACTTAGGTCTCTGAAATGTGCATATTAAGACAGTGTTACAACAAAGTAAGTTTGAAGATCCTATAGCATACACTTCACTGGAGTAGGAAGGCTTTATAAGTCTCACACCGAGGCTGTGGTCTAGCAAATGCCTGTCAGTGCATTTGAAGAACTCTGCCCTGCGTACATTCAGCTAGTGAGGTTTTGTGATCCACAGAGATGAAACATATGATGGGCACATACCAGTTTTAAGCTAAAAACATTTACTCTCTCAGCAGTTCAATGATAGAAAGAGGAGGCTGCTGCACAGAATAGCCTACTTACAGGTTAACAACAGCTCCAAGAGTGCTGAAAGCTTCCTTGTGGATCTGATGGATCCGATTTCTACTGAGATCGCTGCAATGAACGCCAAATGAGATTATTTTAGCAGTTTCATCAAAACTTTGTAACAGCCACTGTACTGAGAAAAAAAGCTAAGGTGACAGGTACATTATACCTTTGTCAGAAAAGCCGAACAACCCTCCCGTTTCCCCTCTCTCCCCAGTCAGCCAGGTGCAGTAGCAGCCAAACCCCTTGGTAAGGCTGCTGTATCCTGCTTCACCTCATCCCCAAGGTAGCATCCAGCTTCCATTCCTGTCCCCTCTCCCTTCCGTCTGCTAGAAGCTCAGCCTGCGCTCCCAAGGCAGAGGCCGGCTCTGGCACTACCCATGCCCAGGCTGAAGGTGCCAGGACAATCCCTTCGGTGACAACCGCACCTGCAGCAGGGCACCTCGGCAGGGGTGGGGAAGACAACAAAAGAACAAGCAGAAGGGCATCTGCTTTGTTGGATTTCAAAATCCAGATCCAGCTCCTGCTGGACCACCATGACTTATATTATGACATTCCTTTTAAAACACCTGTCAATTTTTAGATATTTTTTTCTGATAATTTCAGTGTTCCTATATAATCTTCATATAGCTAGAGATGTAAGGGGAGGGGATAATTTTGTTTACTGGTCTGCTCCTCCTGAGGAAAACAGATAGGATCTCTCCAATAAATACTATATAATAGAACAATATAGTAATAATGTAATACGAAATAGTGGACTACCAGAAAAAATCTTCTTTTTTAATCTCCATATATATATATATTAAAAAAAAAAAAATCTTTATAGGCTAGAAAGACAAAATGGAGAACAGAAAGAACGGGACTGAAACTGGCTGCTGCTAGTATCCCTTGCACATTGTTTGCTTCACCTTAGGATCCAGCATACCTGGCCTTTTGCCAGGTCAGATTTGTAACACCAAACCCTGATATCAGTTTACATGGGAATCAAAAACATTATCTTGTTTTACTCAGTATGCAGCTATGTGCACTTACAGGATACGAAGGGAGGACAGTCCTTGAAAGGTATCCTCTGTGATTTCATGGATTTGATTATGCTGTAAGGAACTGCAAAGTGAAGAAGTAGAAACAGACTTTATTGGCAAACTGGGCTGACTTCAAACCAAAGGATAGCTCAGTGCCTGCTAACACATAGATTTAGCCTTACCAAGGGCAAGATTTTTCTCGTTTCCCCTGTAGGCAAACTGTTTAAGTATCTGCGCTGCACTTCGCATTAGCCATGTTAATACAACCATTAAGCTCTTTCATGGTGCCTCTGCCCAATCCCAATTCACAACTCATTTAATTTAGAAGAGACTGTTAAGTGTGGACTGAATTCTTTCCAAGCTAAAAGTAAGACTTTGTGAACTTTGAAGAGTCACGCCGAGCTTTAAAACAAATCTACTTAATTCTGAAGGTATCTTTAGGCCATATTCTTACCCTGGGTGCACTTTCACTGCTCAAAATACAGATTTATGAAAGGAAAATGTTGAGAAGAGCTAATGGGCAAATTATGCTTCCAGTTCACTATCTCTCTTTACAATGAACAATGAGCCTGAAGATGTCAAAAGTGTAAGAGCAAAGGCCTATTAGCCCCACTCTGGTTAAGGGGAAAGAAGCTTGAGAGCAGTAGAGGTAGGAGGAGAAGTAGGAACATATGCAGGCAGAAAAATTGTGTAGGGTCTGGAAATTAAGCATAAGCTTTAAAGCAATGAAGTAAGGAAAAGCAAATACGGGGTTTGAATGTGTCTTACAGGGACTAGAGGAAAAAACATTTTACACAAGCATAGGCTGATGGTTGGAGGGAACTGAAGAAGAGTAGAAGACATAAGAGGCAGGAGGGAAAACACATAAATGCTCATTCCATTTATGCATACAGCAATACTACTATGAAATGCAGGATTAAGGCGTCCTTCGTTCTTTTTTGTGCCATAGCAACTATTAAACCTTAGCTAATTGAGAAAAATAAAAGCAGTTGAATTCTCTGTCCAGCACGCTCCCTCACATGAGATAGTCATATCATATCTCTCTGTCCTTAATCTTAGAAACTTATGATCAAACATGAAACAAAAAAGTTTCTAAAGACTTGGACTCAGCATACTAAGGAGGTAGTAAAGATAAATAACATGTATTTCTACTTACATTTCTTCCAAGGACTGGCAGCCCTTAAAACTCGGGAGATCCTTTATATTGTTATAAGACAAGTCCCTTCAAAACAGAAAATGGGAGAAAGGTGCTTAGTTCAACTCTTTTTTACTTGAAACATCTCATCACTTGTAACCATTAAATGGATTGGCAGAAAAGTCTTCCTGTTAGTAATATTCTGCAGAAAAACTAAGGGCAGTTTAGAGAAAATTTTGAATGGAATCACAAGCATGATCTCTCCACAGTCATCCTAACTAGTCCCACTTCGATTACACATACTATATACACCCAAAATCATAGAAAGACATAACTGCTATGTCAAACTCGCAACAGTCAGCAAATAGCAGAAATAAGGCTGTCTATATAACTTTCTAAAATGTTGATTCATTGCCTTTTATTCACTCTATCCATGTAACCCTTGTAAAAACTACATTTCTATATCTCTCCCCCTTTTTGTCTCTGAATTCAGTGAACGAATTTTTTTTTTTTAAGCTTTCCTGAAATATTCAACCAGTGATGTAAAGCAAACAAGCATGAAAAAAAAATAATCCCAAAACTCTCTATTTGGCAAACATTAACAACTGAAATTAGTGTTCTGTAATTGAAAAGTAATGGAAAAACAGGCCATGCCTTTGTAGTGGCTTCAACAGCTCATGAGATCCCTCCCAACCGACATTTTTGATTCTATAGGCACTGCTTTCAGCTCTGCATCTGGATATCCGCATACCCCAAAACCATACTGTACAAATTCCCTGAATTCTGAGCGTTGTAATCTAAAAAGCTTTATTGATAACCTGCTTTTTTAGAATAAACTGGATAGATGGTATGCAATGCAGGAATTTGGCGCAAATTTTTATTTAGCATGTTGGTACGTCCCTAAGTAGAGCTAGGAAAGTTCACAGGAAAAAGATTTTCCTGTGAAACTATGCAGCAAAAAAAGGAGACTAGAAACTTGCAAGCAATCTTCAAATTTCTGTTCAAAAGATAAACTGCCATTTGAAAATAAATCCTACCCCATCATTCTTTTTCCCTAGTTTTTCTTCTACAAACCAGACTGTATTTTTCTCCCCCATTTTTCAGCACTTGCTTTTGTTCCAAATTTTCCTGCATGTATCCTTTGTAAACATGGCTTTGCCTCTCCCCCCGCAATGGTTTCATTTTACAGTTTGGTTTTTTGCATTTATTTTAACACACCCTTCTGCTTTTTCTGTCTTGCCTTTGTATTATTATTCTCTTCCTAATCCTCATGTCCATTTCTCTTAGTTCCTGATGCTCTCTCCTGTGTTCCCAAACACAAAAAGCACTATAACCAAACTCTTCCTTAACCTCTGAACGTAGATGATTACTGTTGTGTTATGAATGAATGGTGGCAGAGTGAATTTGAAGATGCAAAGACTGTTCTGCAGCACCACCTTACATATCTTTTATAACACAGGAAAGAAATACAGTGCATCCCTATAAAGGGGACCCTGTTTCAGGAATGTAAGGCATTATATCAACTGTGCCATGAGTCTTGATTTGAAAAATCAAGAAACCAGAATCAGATTTCCAACTTTGATAGAACTACTACAATGAGCAATTCTAAGCAATACTTCTGCTTTAAATTAGCTTTTAATTTCTTTTAGAACATTTTGATGCAGATGAAAATAGGAGCGCAATGTGTATACTTACAAAGTTCGTAGAACCTTTTGCTCTTGACATAAATTAACAGGAATACTGTTTATCTTGGTCCCTGTTAGAGTTCTGTGAAAAAAAAACCCACATATATAAATGTTTGCATTGTTGATGGTAGATGGCATAACAAGCATATGTAAGAGCAGGACGGTGTCTCAGTTATTGGGGTGCTAGATTCACCCACCAAAATTTTTTTTTGGTTTGGTTTTTTCTAAGAGGCCACCTTCTCTGTTTTTCAGTTTGGGGGGAGAGGAGGGGGGGGCGGGTTTGTATCAATGGTCTTTTCATAGACTATTGTCAGCTTACCCTATTAAAAAAATAATTAAGAGGCACCCAGGTATCACAATAAGGAGAGCTATATAATTACTTAACATTTATTGACAGGAAGAGAACATACATGCAGTTGCTCTCCAGATCCACTAACCATGTTTCAATCACTTCACAAGAGGCAAACCCAAGAAATTATTGGAAATTATTTCTGTAGAAGATACTTACAAACTCTCCAGATTAACGGTTCCTGTCAAATTAGGAAACCACTGCACCATGCTGGCACCCCGAATGACCCTAAAAAAATTCCCATGAAGATTAGCTGTATTATGCAAAGAATTGTGACACTCAATCCTGCTATCAGGTACGTATTTTCACTAAGGAGACATTCTAACATCCTTACTGCTTTTGTTTAAATTTTACACATGAAGATAGTCTTTTCGCTGCTGCTTATACTAGTAATTTGCTTAATAAATTACTCCTCCATTAACAAACAACTGGAATTCATCAATCTGCAAAGAGTCATCAATCTGCAAAGAGTCGTATCAATACACATATGAAAAGGGCATAAACTCTTAGGTAGTTTGCAGTTCAAAGTTTGAAGTCTCACTCCATTTTGCTTTCTTGTCACCCCCAGAACTGATATCTTTTGAGAGCGTGCATGCACTAACCTGCAAAACATTCTCACAATGTACATCCCTGTTCAAAAACCACCTAGGACATATTGCAGTTTGTTTAAGTAAGAACGTGAGCATTTGGCCTGAGGTTATGTGTCTTATGCAAGGCAATGAAGATGTTAAAAAAAAAAAAAAAAAAAAAAAAGGTTGTGGAGCATATTTACTGGAGCTTCTTAGGAAACTGGATACTCCCAACAATAACAATGTTTATAAAAGCTTACTGCAAAAAAATTGTAAGGTAAGAGGCAGTCAGAAAATCTAGTTATTTTGAGTTCTTAGCCACAACATTTCATATTCATTTATTGTACTTCATAGTTGACATGATACTTACAGAGAATGCAGATCTGACAGATTCTGAAATGCTGAGTTCCCCACAAAAGACAAAGGATTATCATACAAATGTCTGGGAAATGAAAAACATGTTTCAATTGCTGTTCTTAGAGTCACTGTCTGCTAAAGACTAAAAATAGATGCATGAAAATTACTTACATCGTTCTTAGAAGGGGGTTTCCTGCAAATGCACCATCAGGAATTATGGAAATGTAGTTACTGTGAAATCCCCTAAAGATATTAGCAAAGAAAAAACCCAACATTTAAAAATATACTGCCAGTAGATTCAACCAATAGCCATTTTCTTCACACCTACTCAATTCCCAATCGTGCCAAAAATAGGATTGTAGTTAAATAGGAGTAAGTCACACTGTAGGAGTAACTTTGAAGGCATGACTCCTGTCTACTGCACATCTGCTAAACTGAAAATATTACGGTAGAAAGAAACTGTTCTGTCCAAAACATGATCCTGTGCTTTCTCTCTTCTTCCTCCCCTCTTAAGGAGGGGACACGGAAAACATGTGTGATTAGTGAATACTTAATTCTGCTACTGGAGGCCAAAAGCAGCTCATGATTAAGATCTATGCTAATGGTTCTCCTGAATAAATTGCTTGCTTATATAACTCCAAAATAATTTTCAATAGGTTCCCTCTCTAGCTGATGATTATATTTTCCTTTAATTATAGCATCACTTAGCATAACTTAATCTGATCTAGGTTGCTGCATAATGAGACAAGCATTCTTAAATCCAGGAATTTCTTTTCCCTTTTTACTTATGGAAAAGAGAAAGAAAACTGGTAAAAAGGGAAAATAAGTAATACTCACAACTCTTTTAGACTTGGGAGTGCTTTTATGGCTTCAGGGAACTCTACCATGTTATTATAGTTCAAATCCCTAGAAGAAACAAAGCAGGAAAATTACAAAATTCTTAACAGTGATCATGAATTGTTAAAATAATTTTTGTTTAACACAATTCAATGAAAGTAAAAAGTTATCAGAACATCTTTAACTAGACCACAGAATAACTTGATTTTTAACTTAGATTTAGTCTTTTGACATTGTACATGCTTTACAACTAGCTAATAACTTAAGTAAGATATTTAATATTATCCAGAGGATTATTCATATTAAGTCAAATGACATTTCCTTATAGCAAAGCTCAGTATTTTTCAACAACTCACAGATTTTTCTTCAACAGAATTTACATGGAAATGAACTAAGATTTCAAAGTTTAAAAAAAAAAGTAGATACAAATGACTACTCTTTATTGGCTTACTAAGAAAACTTTTCATTCAGGATTTATAAAATAAACAGTAAATAAGCCATTAGGTAACAGCAGACCTTGTAGCAAAACCAATTATAAATATTGAACGGAAGCAGAGGGAAATCTCATCACACTGAATCACTACACACCAGTGACAGGGATCTGTTGAAATCTCAGTTAACCTGTCACTACATTAGCAGTAATATCATGACTACAGTCTTTTTTCTGCAAGAGGGATTCCTTATGAGAGGCAAAAACATTTTGAGAGTCTTACATCAGCTATGCACATTTACATAGCATCTAATTATTACTTAATTGAGGTTCTAAGAGAATGACAAGATAGTTGGAGTAAGCACTATTCCTGGACTCATCTAAACTCCTCACGTTAACAGACGTTGTCACTGGCTTTAACGTGCCCTTGCCCTCCTTCATGTGTTTTATTTATTTAGCATTCTCCTAAGCATAACAAAATGCACCCCCGAAGGAAATACCGCATTCACTGCGCAAGTTGAAGGGAAATGGGGAGTGTAACCCAAGCGGCTGAAAGCCACTCCTCGCCGAGGCAGTGCTCTGGAGGTCGAGGAGTACTGCGGAGCGAGGATCTGGCCGCTATGGACACCCGGTTCTGGGGGGAGTATGAATTGTCAGCGCGGACAACAGGCACGGGGCGAGGGGAAGGTGATGCTTCCCACTCCCATCCCGTTTCTGTCCAAAGGAACATAAGGCCCACTGTTTCAGATACACCAGTCCATCACCTTAGTATTTGCCAGTATTTGAAACGAACTCAGGTGAATCTCTTGCATGAGAGGCTGGGAACCAGGAGCTGGGCTGTTCTCTACCAGCCCGCAGAGGATCGGTTCAGGAGCGGCGGGGACGTGTGAGCGACAGCCTCCTCGGCAGGCAGCGGTGCTCATCCAGTAATGGAGCAGCAGTGGAGAAACAGCCTGCTGGGGCCCTCTGAGAAACCTCCTATCACCACACAATAGTTTTGGCAGTGTATCTTAAATACGTTTAATCCTGCAGTAAATCTGAGAAACAAATATTTGTCCCTTACCAGCCACAGGGCCACTCAAACACTTCTGATACATCCACCTAACTCAGTGGAGTGCTATGCAAAGATACACCAGCTAGATCAGGGCTAGGAACATTAGAGCCACATCACCCAGCATGACATTTCAGGCTAATATTTACCTGCTTCTCAACATAGTTAATTAGTTTTGGTGGAGCACTGCACCGATACTAGCCTTCAGTTCCGAAACCTGAACCGGACCTGTGTCGGCGGGATGTGTTGCGCTGTGCAAACATGCCTTATTTGCAAAATCTTCACCACACCAGTAAAGTAACCTCGATTAAGCTGGGAATGAGGCAAATACTGCAAAACGAATTACTTTAAGAAGTATACTCACAAGGTTTCAAGGTTGTCTAATCCATCAAAGCAGTGTTTTCCTATAGTTTTTATTTTATTGTTATGAAGATGTCTAAAAAACAAAACCAAAACAAGTATAAAAATAAGTGAATTATTTCATATAAGTTAACACATTAGCAGGTATTTCTATGAAATCAAGACAGTTAAATGGTTTAGAAAAAACATTACATGGGGTGGATTATGCAGAAGAATGTCTTTCACTTCTAGACAGAAATCTTTCATCCTCATATGGGAACAGAATAGATTGCCCACAGTCAAGACAACCTATTTTAAACCTTTACTCACTATCCAGAAGTGTGATAAAAATTATTTAAACATATAAAACAAAGTAATTTTTCATATTCATCCTTGGAGATATTTAAGACTACACAGAAACAGGTCTGTGGCAGATAGTATTTTCTTCTTTTAATATCTCTGAAATCTTTCTCTAACAACCATTGGTTTGAAACATTCATTACTAAAATGAGACGTCGGGAAAATATACAGCAATCTCGCTATCCATAGCCCCTTTGACTTTCTGTTTAGGAGAAAGTCTTTAGCAAACCTTCAGCGGGTTGTCTAAGTATACATGATATCATCTCGTGTTGGTGGTATAGGCTGTTAATAGACAACTGAGCTAAAACGTAGCAAAATACCATTTTCTGTGCCATCCAAGCTTAATCAAAACTGTAACCGAGGAGAGAATCAAAGTGACCCGTGAAATACAGTTACAGATACTCACAGAACAACAAGACTTGAAAGGTTTGTAAATGCATAGTCAGGAATGTGTGTTATTTTGTTAAGAGCCAGCGTTAATGCCTGCAGAGAAGGGAGATTGCTGAGCGGATAGATGGGAACTTCTGTCAAGCTGTTGTCATCCAACCAAAGGTGACGCAACTGCACCAGACCCTCAAAACTGTCTTCTGGTATGGCAGTTATATGGTTAGCATCTAAACGCCTACATTAAAATAGAAAGAATTCACATAGTAAACTCACAAACTACAGATAAGTAAAAATATCAATTAAAGTTCTATTACTCCTGAATTTTTTTTTTTTAAGCTTAAATATGCTTTACTGAAATAATTTAATATGAGAAAATGTGAAGGTTTACTGAATGATGCATGAACACCCTTTCAAGGCAAATGATGAGCCCATCAAAGAAAGCTTCATAAAAATTTCTTCTCAGACATTTTTAATAAACCATTTTAACAAATTCATATGCTTATAATCAGTTTAACAAACTGAACTGGTAACTCTATAGACACCTCTCCCCTGCAAGCCCCCCAGCTGCTAATACTGGAACAAGTCTTTAAAATGGTAGCTTGATAGTGTATCAAAGGTTACAGAGGCACTTACTCATTTGAACTGATTATCCCTATTGCTACATTGTCGATAGCATCGTATACTGTTGTATGCTTTGTTTTGTGGTAGTACTGTACACCTTAAGCGACTACTTTAGAGAACAGGATTATTAAAAGCAGTTCTTGAATGAAGTCAGTTATGAATCATCCTGGCAAATAAAACATTTTATCGTCAACTGAAACTGAGCAATTTCTTTCACTCTTGCACCTGATCCTTTCTAGCATGCTCCACAAAATAAATGCAAAATAGCACATTAGCACTGTTGACTATTGTACGTTATGGGATTTGCCATCACACTTTTTCCCCAAATGAACTCCGACTGCCAACATTAGCAGTAGTAACACATGTGGAAAGTGACTTCGCTATCTTTCATCCAGAAAGTCAAACCACACGCGACAATTACTTCTGCTACAGTTACCGGCTCACCTATGCTATTGGGTTTCACAGCTTCTTCAGGTTTCAAAGCATCAAAAAAAAGAACTCCACACCTGGAAACCTAGGAGGCTAAAATGCACGTCCTCCGCTCCGACTCCAGATGTGAAGCCCTCACAACGGGAGGCGCAGGTGTTACTGTCAGAGTCTCACCTACAATCCTTACCCGTGACAACTGACAAACCTGATATTGCACTCCTTGTCTGATGGCTTTGGCAGCAACAACAGAAGCTCTCGTGCAAAATGACGTGTCCTTCTTCCTCACGCAATACACTCTGAACCAATTTGTTTTTTCATCTTCCTACATTAGCAGCAAAGTTACTTGGATAGCATCACTGGCAACCAGGGCAGGCAAAAGGCACAGACAGGGACCAGTTCAAGTTTGTCTACACTATACCACGTAACCAAATGCATTGGAGACGAAAGTGGAAAACCACCCATACTAAGAGCTTAAGCTTGGATGTACATAGACAGAAGCCCCAGGAAGGGGCAGTGGCAAGGAATGACCCAGGAAGCAGCAAAACATTAATAAAGCGCTATTTTTCCTAAGGCGATGAGCGGAAAAGTTGGCAGTTATAGCCCACGAGATGAAAAAAAATGAACAGTAACAAATCCAAGCCAGCGTAGGGCTGAGAGCAACAGGCAATGTTTGACTGTCCTCTGACCTAGCGGCTGCCTTCTCTAGGTCAACTCACAGCTGAACCGGGGTAACTTCGCTGCAAACATGGAAGAAAACACCTTGCATAACTGCTTTGAAATGACTGGTGCACCAGCCACGGTATGTATGCTGCTGTCTGGGGAGACAAAACACGGATACGCTGCTCCATTAGCATCGATGTTCATTACGATACAAATCAGCACAGGTTTTGAGTTATATTAAGCATTCACTGTGTTTCTAAAGCCATGATCAGACATGCTCTTGAAAGTCTAGCTGGGTTAGTTTAAGAAGTCATTCCCTCCAGCCGTTCATCCCGTCCCTCTCTGGGCTGGCAGAGTGGACCAAGTGACTGCGCTACATTTGTCCGCAGGCACAGTCACAATAGCTTAAACAGCAGAGAAAGTGCTTCTGGACCCCAACACTTAAAGGATGTGCTGAATTCAAAGGGAGAAGACAAGCTTGATCAAGAATTAATGCACTTAGTCTATTTCTGTGAAAGAGAGTTTTGTTGTTGTGATGTACATGGTTTAAATATTTCAAATTATTAGGGGAAAAAAGTCAGCAGCTGAATTTGCATGTAATAAAAAGTCAAGAAACGCATCAAATTAAGTAACAAATACACCAATATAAGTAGGAACTTAAAAAACTATCTGCAGTCAAAGGCTCTCCTAAGATGAGTGAGGTGCCATTAGCTCTAAAGCTGTACATCAAAGAGCTAATTCCTATGGCTCATATACTGGCATCCCCTTATCATTTGCCCCATGGTCTGACAGGTGTGTACGCTCTTCTGTTTGAATGCTTTTAGGCTGCACTGAGACTGGAACGTTTCAGAGAAATTAAGTGTCTGATGATAATAAAGAAAAAAAAAAGGGGGGGGTAAGGAAAAAAGCCTGCGGCTCTGCTTCAGGAAAAAACAAAACAAAACAAAAAAAAACAAAACTAAAAATTACCTGTCTTTCTTCTCTCTCCTAAATTCACACACCTCCCTGAAGATCAAAAGAATTATTTTCCAGTGGAATAAACATATCCGAGTCTTCTCTTCAGCTAATTTCTCCCTGCCCCCCCCACCTATTTTTTTTCCCTTAAGCGAAGCAGCATACTGGAGAGGCAGCCTCAGTCCCTGTGAGTGCTTGTCTACGCCACTGTGCTCCTTGCTAAATGCCATTTACTCAAGCAGACTTCGGAAAACAAAAACACACAGGGAAGCCCCACGCCCTGCTCCTCCTCTCCCACAGTGAAAGCAGAAGATGACCAGAGGAAGGACGGACGCACGCAACGAGGGAGTCGAACTCTCAGCCAGGGAGAATAAAGAGGGTGATGGAGATGATGACGGACCCTTCATCCCCAGCTCGCGTTGCCAAGACCTCCGTCCCCCAGCACAGACAGATTGAATACCCAAGTGACTCTGCATCTTAAACCGATGGCTCTCCACAGCCATCCAGTCCGTTGTGTTCATCTTCTCCTGCCCGGAGCAGTAAAACTGAGGGGGGAAGAAGACCACCACCCATGGTTGTCACTGAGCAGGGAGGTTTGGAAGGTGAAAGAGGGCACTTTTCTGGCTCTCTGTCACTTCTTTGCAAACATTTGGCATCATCTTAACAAACGCAATGTCTGAATAGAGCTGAAAGTAATTAGCAATGCCAAATCATAAAGCCAAAGTCAAGCAGAAAGACAGGACATCTTGCTGTGATCATTTGTGTCTCTCTCACTCCCCATTTACATAGCGACTTCCCGATCTCCAAGTCTGAAGATCACTGTGCTAGCCCAAGGTTCTCCCAGAGGCCAATGGATATGTCAATAAAATAGTTGAAAAGGGACGGTTTGCCCAGAGTTTTCATTGAGCTGCATTTACAGTTTTAAAGTGAAAATCTGTGATTTACAAATGTTATAGGAACAAGCACAGCATCTAAAGAACCAAAGTAGGTATTATTATGATTACACAGAAAGTACTTATTGGTGCTGGATTTCTGTTATTGGTTGTCATACCTCAAGACTTATTTTTAACTAATTCGGCCATTTCTGTCTCATCCACATTTTTTGTATTCCTTCATAGTTCTTAGAGTAAGCCTGATGCGCACACTTACTTTTTCTTTTTTTTCCTCTTCCAAACAGTCAAAGCTTATCCACATTATGTTCAATGCACAAAACACAGCTGAAATGCTTCTATTTAATGTGAAATGCACATAATGGAGTACTTTGTGAAACAACTGAAAAGCAAACGTAAAATATTTGACAACTTACACAAAATATTACAACTAAGGACCACACCTTTTCTTTAAGATGGGATAAGGGAGTATTCATTAGCTCCAATAACTAGCAAAGTACAAGTAATATTCTTCGCTTGGACTGAACTTTCACAAAGACTGTCCTTTTCCATTAAAGTGTTAAAGATAAGACTATGTTCTTTAAATTAGAGCTTGCAGCATGTACTTAAATTCCTTAATCTTTCAGAAGCTACTCCAATTCCAGCTTCCCTATAGGCATTGGCTTGTGAGAGACCTTTCCTTTTAGCCTATAAATTCAGAGTTCACTTGCGGAGCTGTCATCTTCACTTTTATTACCTGTCAGGTTCCCTCCTCACACAAACTCCAACTCCACAAGAATAAAGAGCAGGAGGATGATAGAAACCTATATATTCAGCAGCTCTTATATCAGTATTTGACATACTGTTAAAACAAGTAAAGAACATAGCAACTTAAAGGTCTTCAAACAATTAATTCAGCTTTAAGGAAACTGTAAAACTGATATGAACTCCTACCTCAATTCAAATGAATAAAAGTTCCAAAGTCTAACACACACATATATATGAATTTTTTTATATTTATATAGTAATATAAACACACACAAAATTACCATTCCGACTCCAGTATTTTTCAAATTTTCATAAAGCTTTTCACTACAAACCTCAGGCCAAGCCTGCCAGGAGTACGCTAGTGTATGGAGAGCAAATACCTGGGAGGTGGCACAGCATGGCATCCAGCTTTTTTAATACATTACAGTGGAGGCGGGGGGGAAGCTGGAAAAAATGTTGATAAATTTATTCATTTCTGGAGCATTGGGAGCTTAAGGAAAAAAAAAAAAAAATTAACAGATGTGTTTCCTCGGGATGTGCCAGAGGCCAGCCAAGCCCCCTCCTCCCCTGGTCTCAGAAGCATCCCTGCACCACATCAAACTGCAGCAGAAACTGCTGTGCCGGAGACTCGCACCAATGCAGGTGCAGGAGCAGGCATAGGAGCACTGTTACTGGGCACAGCGTCTACTTACAGGGTTAAAAAGGCTAAAAGGAAAGGATACTCATGGCCCTGTTTGGGCTGGCCAGCAGCACTGCTTAGAGCAGGCTCCCTTCAGCCCGCATCCCTGGGGAGGCCTCCAGGACCACGCTTGCACATCTCCTCCGCTGCCCAGTCCCTCCGGTGCTGCTTCTCTGCTTTATTCTTTTCCCATCCTCCAAACGAGCCAGGTGCTAGCAGTGAGGGTTCCTCCCCGCCGGACCGGGGAGAGGCAAG